TGTGCATATGTTGTATTTGAACTGCCATTGGACACAGATGACACCAATCTATGTATATATGTATACCGAATGAATTCTACGAGGATACTCATACCGCTTTTGTACGGTTCACTTAGTGCAGAGAAACGGCAATCGAGCAAACCGGAAATAACAGTACCAGAACATGAAGAAGGTGAGTTTATGACAAACTCATGTTGATTTCAGGTGTTGCGAATGCAAGGCAAATTTGATCGATGCGAACTCCGTGGACTGATCATAAGGGCGGATGCTCAGGTGCAGGAGAAGGTACCATTGCACGCGGAATAGAAGCACCATGAGTATGTTCCATTCAATTTACTAATCCAGGCCAATAAGGCATCGTATGTGGTACGTTTGCTTGCGTGCTGAGTAATCTTGCATTTCAGAAATAGATATTGCTTGAGCTCCCCGGTGTGGATGCGCTTGATGTGAATGTTGACAAGGTGCCTACCTGTCTACTACCCACTACCTCGTCCATAATGGCTCCAGGAGACAGCTGGTCGTCGCTGGAGGGGACGGAGTGCACCGCCCTCGTGATGGTGCTAGACTTAAAGAGTGGTTCCATCCTGTGTGGAACTGGCTACGGTCCAGCCACCGCCTCGTGTACGTCTGGTATGTATGGTTTCCCAATTAGGCCGAAATGCTTCCGTACTGCTTGTTGAAGGAGTGTGGGCCGTCTCCGTTGATGAATCCTGACTCCCATCCGCAGGTCTCCCGGTCTTATTCCTTCGGGTTTACACCGGATATGGGGTGTGTGGGTGGAACTATGGGTGGTGCAGCGCAAGCCACCTATGGTCCCCTTTGTAGGCGCAGGCGTCCTGTGACTGTCCCCATGGACGTCACAGTGACAGGCAATTCCGGATACGGACGCCGCCAAATCATATATATATATATATATATATATATATATATATATATGACAAATTACTTCCTTTAATCCAGGGCGCCACTACTCATACGGTTGCCCGCCACTGCAATCGCTTATTTCCGCGCAAAGCCCCCAAAAGCGGTGCTGGAACGTACATACTTTGCTCTACCAGAATACCCGTGAGCCTTCGAGCGACGCGCTGCACTGGTCGCGATGAAGCTGGCACACTACAACATCGGTATTGCGGCACTCAGCGAGACCCAGCTCGCTGAGCAAGATAAGTTGCATGAAGCAAGTGCTGGCTACACATTCTACTGGGTGGGCAACGCCACCTCAGCACCACGTGAACATGGGGTCGGATTTGCTATATCCGACTGTCTCCATGGTCACTTCGTGGGTGAAGCAAGTCAACAGCGCGCGACTGATGACCGCTCACCTACGACTTGGAAGAGATAAGTTTGCCGTGTCGTATCCTGATGACATGCGTAATCAGTTCTGCACTCAGCTATCCTCCGTGATACAGTCTGTGCCCAGGAGTAACCGACTATTTCAGCTGGGTGATTACAACGCCTGTTGGGCGTGATGCATCGGTGTGGACAGATGTCATCGGTCCGCATGGCATTGGTTCTGCGAAAGCGAACGGTGTCAGGCTGCTCTCACTGTGTGCCACTCACGGCCTGACGATCACGAACACTCAGTTTGCACTGTGTGTGAGTGACATAGCAACTGGGACGCACCCACGGAGTGGTCACGCTCACCTGCTTGACTTTGTCGTTGTACGTCAGCGTGACATGCATGAAGTGCGCATGACACGTGTACTGCGTGGAGCTGAGTTTGGCACTGATCACAGATTGGTGCGGACCAAACTGTACATCAACGTAAGGAAAAGAACGTACAGTATGCCTGCAGTAAATCGGTAATGTGGAGAAGCCTATTGAGCTGAAGGTGATGGCTGCACGCTTGTGTGATGTGGAATGCATAGCCACAGTGGGCGACCTGTGAAATCACATTCGCGACTAGGTGACAAGTGCTGCCGAGGAGACCATCGGGCGCGCAAACTGTAAGCGGCCTGATTGATTTGATGAGAACAATTCGACCATTGGAGTATTGGTGCCTGCGAAGAATGCAGCAGTTGTTGCACATGTGGCGGACCCCAGTGACGGAGAGAAGAAGATGCAGCTTCGCAAAATTCGACAGCGACTGTCCTGACAGTCCTGTCGCGTTAAAAATGCACGGTGAACGGAGAGGGCGAAACATAATGCTACGCCGACGGCCGGTAACACAAAGAGTTCATTGACACCTTGAAGGCGGTATATGGACCGAGATTTGCGCCGTGCTGCCTGCTGCCTGCACACAGACTGCAGCACTAGTGCAGACCTGGCGAAATCACTTTCACTGTCTCTTGAACGTCCGTTCAGAGATTGACTAGCCTACAATGAACTGCATGAAGCGGTATGAGTTGTAGGTGTGTCTGGCGGACACACAGACACTGAATGAGATGCAGAGACCACTTGCTCATTTGAGAAACGGAAGTGCGTCGGTGCCGACGGGATCTTGCCCGAAGCATTGAAAAACGGCGGCACAGCGCTAGTGACTGTGCTGCACCAGTTGGTGCAACGCGTGTGGTTTGAAGAGGAGGTACCTACTGAGTTAAAGAATGCACTTGTGCTACCACTATACAAGGGCAAAGAAAGCTATCAATGTGCCACGAACTATTGTGATATTATCTTGCTGAGTGGTGTGGACAAGGTGATCGCCTGAATACTGCTCAACCGCCTAGTCAGTCAGATTGTGGAACCGAACGTGGCGGAAGAGCAACTTGGATTCCGTTCGGGTCGCAGCACCCTCGATATGGTGTTTCGGCTCGTCAATTGCACCAGAAGTGCAGAGAGCGACATCAGCCGATTTCCTTGTTTGTTGATTTTACCAAAGCATATGATACCGTGAACCGCAAGGCATTGTGGTTGGCCTTGGATAACTTTGGTTGTCCGAATTAGTTTGTAAGTGTGATTGAGTGCCTGCACAGTGGTATACGGGAGAGGGTGAAGCTGAGTGTCCCGACCTCAGATAACTGTGCAGTTGTATCTGGTGTAAAGCAAGGCTGTGTCTTGGCTGTTGCCATGTTTATTATTTATCTTCATGCCATGACGTCGTGTGTATTTGATGCGGCTTGTGCCTATGGTGTTCGTGTGGAGCACCGTAATGCTGATGGGTTGCTGAACATTCGCCGTTTCGGTGCGAGTACCCTAGTATGTGAGACAACTTTCCGTGTGTTGCTGTTCTCTGACGACTGTGCGTTGTTTGCACATAGCGTGGATGACGTGCAGCACATGACTTGTGCTCTGGCTTCGACAGCGGTCAAATTCGAGCTCGCCATCAAGACAAGCAAAACTGTCTGTCTCTTTCAGTTTTCACCGGAGACGCAATCTACAATGGTACTGCCAATCAGCATTGGTGATGACGTATTGGAAACCACCTGCTGCTCCTGCTACCTTGGTAATGTGGTCTCAGCTGACAAGCAAATATACAGTGATCTTCTCATTCGAGTCTTGAAAGCAGCGGTAGCATTTGTGAAGCTTGAGTACTGTGTGGAACAACCACAAGCTTACCTTTGGTATGATGAAGATGGTGTACAAATACATAGAGATGTTCGTTCTTCCATTCAGAAGCGAAGCGTGCACGATGTACAGGCCAGATATGAGATATATCTGGCGGCTTCAACGACAGTGTCTGCGACGGATTCTGCGCCTAGGTTGGTGCGACTTATTTGCTAACACGGAGGACTTGCACCAAAGTGGAATGTATGCGGTGGACTCCATACTTTTGCGGAGAACATTGAGGTGGCTCGGTCATGTATGCCGTAATTATTCGACGCGGATACCGAAGCAGCTGTTACATGGCCAGCTGAGGGTGAGGAAACGGCATGTGGGGAAACCGAAGCTTCGTTACCAGAACATGATCAAGGTTAGCCTATCAGGTTATAATGTTGATTTCAAGTCTTGGGAATCGAAGGCGGTTGAGAGGCGCCCATTACGCGATCTGATCACGAAGGCAGTTGCCAAACAGCAGGAGAAAGCCCTCGTGTATGCGAAGAATAAACGACAGGTGTGGAAGCGACAGGCTCCGATGGGGTGCACTCCATTGCCGTCGATCGCATAGTGCTGTGGTACGTGCGGTCGCGAGTGCTTGAGCTACGCAGGCCTAGTGAGACACGAACGAGGCCACTCGGGAGCAGCATCGAAAGGAGGACGGGTCGTGATGAGAACGCAAGTAGAACCAGCGCACCGTTGGTAGGTACGCTGCATGCACTTCCATTCGATTTAGTAATCGCGTGCTTAGGTGCCAAGTTTCTATATTTCAGGTGATTGGTTTGCCATCTTGTCTTAATGCTGATTTTGTTTCCTCATATTAGTGTCAACTAATTACTTGCACGCGTCGCATAACCAAAAGGCGCTTAACTTCGCTAAATGTTTTCGCTTTGGTTGCATGTTTCGGTCTCTTTTTCTGTCATTTTAATTTATCGCGGGTTTGTTGATAAACTACTTATTTAGTACGCTTATTTAGCGAGGAGTTAGGTTGGCGTATCCGTAAGTTTCATTTGAATCATTTTATTCGATTTTGTCATTCAAAATACTGGCCTATTGCTTGACGTCTCCGATGTGGTTGCGCCTAATGTGCATATTGACAAGGTGCGTGCCTGTCTATTACCATGGGCTTCGATCACACTGCCTCCAGGAGACAGTTGGTTGTTGCTATGGGGACGGGTGAAGGAGTGTGGGTCGGCTCCGTTGATGAGATGTGGCTCTTATCCACATGTCTCCCGGTCTTATTCCTTCGGGTTTAAACAAAATATGGAGTGTTTTGATGGAAACGTGAGTGGTGCAGCCCAAGCCACACATGGTCCCTTTGTTAGCACAGGCATCATCTGGCTGTCCCCGTAGAGGCCACCGTGACACGTAAACCCGGAGCCGGATGCCGCCAACCACATATATTAACTCTACTATGCAAGTGATGTAAGGTGGAAAATCTAAGTAAAGGCAACAATGGGTCAACTAAATAGTGTTATTTTTTAATTATGTACACTGTCCTTGAGGAAAATGTTATGGTAGCTCACTTTATAGCCTTTCTGAGAGCGAGTGGCTTGAAACCAACGTTTGCGGATCTTTCGTTCAAGTTGTACTGATCGATGTCAACATCTAGCGTCTCATTCTTTTCTACGATGGCTGCATGAAGGCTGTTCGCTAAGTCCTGCATACGCAGGAGTGCTTCGAATGCCTCCAAGATTTTACTCTGTTGTTCGTCGTAAATTTCTTTCAGCATAGTCTGTTCCTTTGAACAAAAACACAAAATTTAACAAAAACAATGCGAGTGGCAAAAATGTTGATACGAACAACCATGTCTACAATTTCTGTCCTTAAAGGTCAACAATTTAAATATGGTGTAGGTAGAATTTCGTCACATCTATTTAAACATGCCCAGCTGCTACCCGCTGTGATATATATATATATATATATATATATATATATATATATATATATATACTTGCAGCTGACTCCTCTTTTTATGCTTGAGTTTCGGAAGTAATACTGTTTTGTCATTTGCAAAGTGCAAACTAGATTACGCAGAAGCAGCACCGGATTCGTACAACCACGAAGAAACTGACAGAAGTTCTTGATGTATCAAGATTATTTTTACCGGGAAGTAGTGCTTCACAGATGAGTTCATCTTACATTTCGTCCCGCTATCAATCGGTCTATCCGAAAGGCCAAGGAGAAAAGTCTGGATTAACGGATCGCGAATTAATACAGTTAGATGGGCTAATTTGGTTACACAAAATACACGTGGATTTCGCAGGACCAGTCGAAGGAGTGCATTTACTCGTTCTTATTGACGCTTACAGTAAATGGCCGGAGGTAATCACTATGCAAAACAGGTCGGCCAACAGCACAGTTTTTGCGATGAGACATGTTTGCAGTCAGCACGGACTGCCAGTAACAGTCGTGTCAGATAACGGGTCACAGTTTACGTCTTGTCAATTTGCTGCATTTTGTGCACAGAATAGGATCGAACATGTGAGGACGGCCCCGTATCATCCGCAGTCAAATGGCCAAGCGGAAAGATTTGTTGATACTCTGAAACGAGCATTGTGGAAGTCAAAAGAGGAGGGATTGCTGAACGAAAGATTGGAACGTTTCCTGTTGAACTATAGAGTTACCCCGAATCCTAATGCACCAGATGGAAAATCACCAGCTGGAAAACTTATGGGTCGAAGGTTGAGAACCACACTAGATTTGCTGACTCCCAAGCATCGGTATTTACAACTAAAGGATTCAGTGATGGAGCGTCAGTACAACAGGCGGTATGGTGCAAGAAAAAGGATTTTCAAAGTGGGCGATCTTGTGTTTGCGGCTGCTAATCAAGGGCGGCGGATCGCATGTATACCAGAACGAGTCGTGCGGCGCCGAGGCAACGTGATGTATGATGTTCAAGTGGGTACACAGGTGTGGAGACGCCACGTAAATCAGTTGAGGTCACGTTATACACATGGTGCCGTCGTTCCGAAAGCCAACGGACTAGACGTCAATGAATTGCTGGACACTGGCAAGCCTAGTATTCCTGCAGGTGGTGACGTTCGTCTAGTGGAATGCATGGAAAATGGAGCTCGCCACAGGCCAAAGAGCACAAGAAGATTCGTGCAGCCTCTCCAAGTGGATACGCGTCGAAAGAGCTATGTGAACACCAGGTAACCCGTTTTTTTAAAGAGAAGGAGTTATTAGGAGAACAGCTATTAGACATTCATTTATTGTGAACGAGCTTGATAGCTATCCTTTACTCTTCCTATTTTCTATTCTTGACTGTTGTTTAAACGCTCTACTGGGTTCGCCCGATTGGTACATCCAAGTCATTGTTAATGGACGCTCATCGTCATGTCCTTCTCAGCAGCGCTATTTGCAAGAACATATTCTATTGGTTTTTTCTTCTCATCACTGTTCTACTTGGCATTGTTAAGGAATATTTAGTTGTCACACAATTATTGTACTATTTTTCAAATTTTGGGTATGCATTCCTTATTCTCAGTCGTTTCGCGACTTTTGTTTAAACGTTTCATTTCGTCATTCTGATTGGCCAGTGCCCGTCACTGGCCGTCACTGTAAATGGACGTTCGCTTTATGCTTGGAGTCCAATGGTGTTATTTTTAAGGACATACGTGATTCACTCTTGAGTACACGGTTGCTTATTCGCCGTTGCATTTTACCTTTTTCCTTCAGTTGGTTGGCTCAAGTGTACTTTAGTAGCTTCCCTTCATTTTGTCTTCAAACTATATAAGCAACTGTGATTTCATGTATACAAGTCTCCTTCTCGTCAGTGGCGCGCATTTCCTCCGTCCCTTGCAGAAATACAAATAAAATCCTGCTACTCGTGAGTAATTTAAATTAAAACTAGCCTCTTCTAGTTTCAAATGCTATGGATAGAGCGTCTAGTGAGAGGACTTCATCACCTCGCAGGCTAACCACTGTCAGTGACAGTGGTAGATAGGTGGTGCTATATCCCAGTTAGTTTGCGAATTATGTAGCCCAGCCAGTCTCCCCCATGGCTCAGTGGCTTAAGCTGCTGGCTAGTTGGCATCTGCCTCTAGCGGTCTTAGGTTCGATAATCCTTAGAGGACCGAGGGAATGCGCGCCACTGACGAGTCCCAATAGGGCGAAACGCGTCTGGCGCTTTTCCGGACTAGGTTCTGCTATGTAACTTGTGAACTATTGGGATGAAAGCCTTATCAGAAATACAAAAAATCCTGGTACTCGTGAGTTAATAATTTGATATACTTTAGTACGAATGGGTGTGTGAGAATGGGGCTGATAACATATAGACACTTGCGGATATCACAACACAAAAGCAGATAAGCATGAGGAAAATCCTTTGTCGATACAACGTGAACCTGCCTTGTTCTCTAGCTCTTATTCCTTTCTCCTACGAGGTCAGATTTTGTTTGATATTACTCAAACTGATGACCCCACCAACGGCCTTTGAAAACATGGGTGATCCAACGGGTTGGATGGTTGAGTTTTATTTCTGATTAGCTTTACTTTTATATTGCCAAATTCTTCAAGTTACTCAGATCGATAGTCCAATGAAAACTTACGGAAACATGAGCGGATCAATGAGTTGGATAGCTGATATTTATCTTTGACTTTCCTTCTTTTACGCTGCTTCTTACTGTGCTCTCAAATAGCCTGAATATTCACTGATGGCATATGAAAAACATGCCCACATCGTTGGGTTGGATAAACTCGCTTTTTAATTGGCCTTCATGTGGTGCTTCATTCTCCGTAACCTGCATGCAAGGCACGGACTTACTGAAAGTTTAAACCATTGATGCCCACTTAATAAGCCACCTAATTTAGGTACGTAATTCCATTTGACCTGTGCCATCATTTCTTACCGGTGTGAGAGACCTTGCTCGTTCCAACTGATTTAACTGGTGCGTAATAAAGACAGTTGTCAGTTTAACCGTTTACCGTTGTAGTGCTATCTTGTCTGCTCACATGCTATTTCTATTTTAAGGTTATCGTTACATTTCATGGTTACGAATATGTTTAATCCCACATTTTCATATGTATATGGTTGCTTTATCTCCATATACGTTGTTACTTTGCTTTCTTTTTGGTACGCCCGGACTAAACTTGTTTAAATGACTGGAAACCGTCATTCTTTCCGAAACCTTGTGAAACCAAATTTATGATATAAGAACCAATGAAAATGGAATTAAATTTGTGCATATACAGTAGCCCCGTAAGCTCAGTTTGCATTTCCTCTATGAATCAACATGGGATAAGCTTTGCTGGCACGTGTTTCACTTAGCTAAGAACATACCAGTTATCATTATTATTAGTAGTAGTAGTATTAGTCTTAGTATTAGTATTAGCACCTGAGTGCCTCTGATGTATACACCACGTAGTGGATGCGAAGACCGCAAACAGTGTTGCGGTGTGTTGGGTACGCTTCAACGGGTTAAGCAACGCAAATCAGATACCGCAGCAGGACGCAACATCTAGAACGTTAGCATCTCTTCAGTTACTGTGAGCAGAGAACAGCAAGTTACATACAGTTTGATAAAAGTACTTCAACGATATTCCCTTCGCTTTCATTGAGAGAAAAGTGGATCAAGTACCTGTTATGGGTGATCCGGCTACTAAAGTATTGAACGCTTGTTCAAGCGCGAAGTTGATTGACGCAGCTCCACAGGACTTCTTAGAGCGCCCGCTAGTCAGCCCGTACCTGGCAGTCATAGAGGCTGCACACTCTGCTACACACCACGCGGCTGGCAAGAAATCTCGAAAACTGTTCAATCACTTCACAGTGGCGTGCAGGTGGCCTGTTGATTTGCCAATAGATTCCACGATTAATGCCTTAACTATGAAGAAGTGTTAACATCTGGTCGACCTGCGTGAAGATAGACTAGGCTGGCTTGCCGAACAACCTCCTCATGGTGCAAGCTGGGTAGCTCGGGATTTTACCGTTCCAGCAAATGGTTCGGCTGCAGTGTTCCAGGACGTGGTGCGTTTTCACCTGACAAATCTTCCCCCTACAAAAAGCCACATATATCCGTTTAACAACACTGTGACGTAGCGGATGTGACTCGCCGATAAATAAAGTCACTGCCCCTTGCTTCATCCTGACAAAGCATTGTGTTCCAGCAACTTACTGCTGTACTTCTGCGGAGCATTGAGCCCCTGTTGGATAAAGGAACAAACAAAAGGCGTATGAACTAAGCAATCAGTCCACGACTCCCAATAGGCACGATTCCATGAATTCGCTGTGCTGCTTTGCGGGCAGGCTATTCGGCCAAAGCCTCGGGGTGGTGTCCCCTAAGTCAACACCCTACTTCGGCTTGGGCAACTGGGTAGTATCTCGCCCTCTGACACAACCAAGGACCCAGATGTATTGTGTTGTCTTTTCTTTTTCAAGTTCTTATCTTCTTTTGAGTTCCATGGTTTCTGATGGCTCTAGGTCTATTCGTAGACTGTTGCAATATATATATATAGAATATTGAAAGGGCTCAAAACAAATTAAGTAACAACATTCGGCTGAGACTAGTGAGTCTTTCGAGATGGCAAAATTTGTTCTTAGAAGTGTAACCCTGTTTGAAATCTAACCCCTGATCTCCCATCATGACCAGACTGGACCTTAATATGGCGCGATGGTTTGCGCGCCTCAACATTCCATTGAGATAAGCCGAGTGGTGCTTTGTGCACTTCAGATTGACAAGTACCAGGTCGGGAGCTGGAATGGGGTTGGCTCTTTAGTCACTAAAACTGAGTCTCTGTAGAACAGCGCCAAAACCCCGGAGCCCTGCGGTCAGGTATTTCAACCGTAGGTTTCTGTTTGGAAACATAATCATTCTCCTGCCTAGGCAGGGGCAAATTAAACTCTCCTGCTCAGAAAATAAAACATAATGATCGTCTCTCCAAACGGTTTCGTGATGCCTTGGCAGTCGCAGATGATTATCAACGGCGCCAAAGCTGCTGCACCAAAAGGGATGGATAGGGGTAAGGATAATACTGCTCAACACTCATCGTCTTCTTACTCCCTCTCCCAAGCAGCATATTCGACCAGTTACCAGCATCTCTATCGGTCACTGGTCGTTAATATCCCTGAGCCGTACCCTGGAACCACTATCACATACAAAAATCACACGTGAGCAGATGGACTTCTTTCAGCTCTCTTCAAATTCGTGGTATTCGCTTGTAAATGATACGCACAACCCACGGTATATTATCGAATATAAGCCGATGATTTTTGGCAAGTTTTCTTTCCTGTATAGGGGGCCGGCTTATACAAAGACTATATGTAATTGAAGTGTCGCATGCAAAATCCACGCAGGAACTAACTGCACACCTCGTCCCACACCGCTGACCGTGAATTTCATCCTTATCCACTGCTATACTGTAGTTCGTATGCAAAAAGCCTCCGACTATGAGAAGCGGCGTGTCTGACGCTCACTTACCTTACCCTGTGTTGTCGGCTGTCTTGCCTGTTTAACGTGATTCGACACATGGTCAATACACTGTCCAGTGAGGTGAAAGCCTTTGTGCTGACGGCTCTACGCCATATTAACTGCGATTATAACACATTGCTGTCATCACAACTGACCAATAGTTGATCAGGTTTCGCTTGAACACAAACAAGTGGGAGCAGGTAGTGATGACGTCAAATTCGTAGCGAAACAAATTACCTTCCCTTTTTACTGCACTTTGGGGGCCAGCTAATACAGGGACTTACGATTTTAGACAAATTTGATGTCGCAGATTTATAGTTTCGGCCTATTTATGGAAGGGCTTATATTCGGTAACATCCGGCACTTGTGAAGAAATGAGAAGAGGAAAATGTCACAACAGCTAGGAGTCGATTCGTTACTGTCCTAGTTTTTAAAGGGGGTCCAAATTCGAAATACGGCAATCAAAAAGGGATCGGGTTACCACTATCATTCTTCGTAAACATCCTGGTATCTGCGAAGGCCAGCTTCGTGAGGAGCAAGCCGGGTTTCGTCAAAGCCGCGGTTGCAATGATTGCATCCACACATTATGTCAGTGGTTAGAGCACCGCCATGCTTATCGCAGAGCCATCATAATCGTGTTTCAAGAGAACAAAGGAGCCTTCGATTCGGTCGATCGATGTGACCACAGGAATAGCGTTTCCGAACAATAAGTCAACATTGTCAGAGCCCTTTACGCGCCCAGTACGGGCTTACGGCAAGCAGTCGCCACCCTTCAATATCTCCAGCAGTGCGGGAAAAAGAGCCCCGCTGACAACGGTACTTTTACACTTCTCCCTCGGCGAAGCCATGGAGACTGTGTTTACTGAACACGACTTACAAGGTCTTGAGTCGCTCCCCGGTGATCGACCTCTTGAGTTGGAGTAGCAGGCGACATTGCCATTATCTGTGACAGCTCTCAAATGTGCCAAGTAGCGTTGCACCAATCAGCATTGGCTGTCGGCCATTTCGGTCCATGCTTTCACACCGTCAAAATACACAGTCATTCTCCAAGATTAGCAGGGACCCACCCATACGTTGACCCTTGATGGTGATCAGTCAGAAGCTGTCGCAAAATTCAATTATCACAGCAGCTATTCAGGCGCCGATGGAATGAAAGATGAGATCACAAACCGCATAACAAAAGCGCCTCGGGCTTTCGCGAACCTGCTTGCACTGTGGCGCTCGCGCGACATTACTCTCACTCTGAAGAGTAGAGTTTGGAATGCAGCAGTCCGTTTAACCCGCCTGCAAGCTTATAACACCTGGCTCATATGTCCAATAGACATAAAGAGGCTAATTACGTTCGACCATCCCTGTCTTAGCACCATAAGTTATGTCGGGCAGGAGCACCGCGTGAGCAATGAGCATGTTCGGAGCCGCGTTGTTGGTATAAAAAGAGCGAGTCAACCGCCCAGCATCGTTATTTCAAGCACCAGATCCCGACGGCTGGGCCACGTGTTGCGCATGCCACTAGACCGACTCGGCTACGTCCGTTGTTTGCGTACCGGAGGTGTGGATGGAAGAAGAAAGGAGACATCAAGCTATTATTTTACTTGGACAAGAGAAATAACGGCCCTCACTGCGAAGTTGGCGTCGACTGGTGTCTCCCGATTGAAGCGCTTGAATTCCATGGACGAACAGGTTTGGTTGGATAAACTACTTAAGATGCCATGGAGCCGATCGCTTTGTCGTCTGTATTTTGAGTTTCTTGTCACTCCTCATTCCGTTTATAATTGATTCCAACCGCGAACTGAGAGTTGAAGCACTGCATGTTACTAGGCGGTATATTACCTGTCGGTTTTAAAGTACATAATGTTTTGCATCTAGTTTATTTCATATATGTAATTCTTTTGTGTTGCGGAACAACAGTTGAAGCGTTGCTCATTTTTAGCTAATTTGTAATGATGAGGATGATGGTGATTCTACTGGAAACCTAATGCTACCTTAAACTTCCAAATTTATACACAATACTCGACCGAGCACACTGCTGGCAGTTCTTATAACGAAAAACATTCATGCATACATATTATTATCTGAATTGGGTTATATACCTTTCGCTCCGGAACTAGGAGTCTGGAGGTAAATAAATAGCCCGCCTTGGGCATATGAAGGTAAAGTCTCTGTACGGCAAATGCATACAACGCTGACATAGCTTGTGGCCTTAGTATACTGGTTTCTGATGTCTGACTCCATACCAGGGAGAAGACACAAACTAAGGCACTATGACCTCAAGACAGGCCGCATATTTAAGTGACGAGTCACGCTTACAGAGTATGTGCAAAAAGAGCAAGTCAAGTGCATTGAAAATGGATCCAGAGAAGTATGCGTCTTGCGATTTAGGCGACCAACCACACAGCATGGAGGCAGTGCTAAACGTACGTTTTTTAGTTCCTGTTCAACTGGATCCAACACCAGTTCTCCATATCGTCTTCGATCGAAAAATGTGAGTGCCTCGGTGTTAACTTGCTGCGCATCCATTAGTTTCACCAAGTATTCCTCAGTGAGCTTTTTGGCGTCCCTCAATTCAGCCATGCGCTCCTTAAGGCGACGAAGTTGAGCAATGAGCTCGTCGCGCCACTGCCTAATCGTCCATATACGATCCGCAATTCTGGCATTTGTGTCACGTTGATCATACCTGTTTGAAACAAATATATGTTGAATTTTAACTAACAGGTTTGATCATTTTAACGCACACATAGATATTTACACATATGAACGGAAGTAATTCAGACCCATAACGTTGCATATTCCTTAGCAATTATAGTGTCAGTGGAAACAGTACACGTGTCAGCCATACAGTTCCACTGCCATAAACAATGGCTTAGTGGCACAAACTGCCACCATTCGGAAGTCATGGGGTCGGAACCCAGCAGGGGTCCGAAAGAAGCGCAACACTGACGCGACTCACTAGATTGAACGCCCGTCCGGTGATTTTCCAAACGTGTAGATGTCTGCCTGGCAGAGAGTGGACTGCGACGAACCATATCTTAAATTAACTGAGAATACTGGTTTGTGTCAAGTCAAGTCAACCTAAGCTCTATGCACTTGTGTGGGAGCAATTTTAGCAAGTTACAATAACACTGAGGACATACTACAACGTAGAAGCGGTAGGAAAAGGCTGTGATGAGACAGGAACAACGAAACGATCTCATTTTCAAGCAAGCAAACGTTCTCGCAATTGCAACGCTTTTTGGATCGACTAACAAGCGACACCTGTATGGCAAAATGGAGTTGCGATATGGAGAGGTACAGGAAAATGAAATTTTTATCGCGACCGCGTGGAACAAACGGTTATCGTACTTGCTAAAACAGTATGTAAGGTTAAGTAGGGTCGTTTACAATTATTGATGTGTAGCCAAAGCATGCATCAAAATGCTTGCGAGTCACAAAATCAACGAGGGCTTCTCGGCGTGGTCTAGAGCATAAGGAAATGAATTTTAGTGATTGCACAAGAAAAGTATAATCCTTTTGAAGAAGTCCCGGGGAAACTAACGGGGTTGCAGTACGGCTAGTGGAGAATATATGCATTCACAAAACATAGAAATAGAGGGCTTGGTAAACGAAGCATTTCGAGCCTATGGGAGTAAAAGGATAGATTTTATACAGTTTCATGTGTGTGCATCGACCAAGAGAAGCTGTAGATCAAAACACCGAGATACCTTACAGGATATGAACGAGGGATACTTTGGTAAGTCACGAGCAAAGGAGGAGAGGTGTTTAAAAGAAAGGAGTCTGTCGGAGAAAACAAAATAATAGGTGATATCAAAACAATAAGAAGGGCTAAATGAGAGACAGTGGGAGCTTGACCAAGTTAGGAGTTTGTCTAATCCGTGTCGAAGTTTCTAATATTTCTCAAATATTGGGGTTAACCACCTTTGGACGACATCATTAGCGCACTTACAACCGATGAAACTGATTGGTATAGGCAGACAATCAACATAGCGAGAAAACAGAATGAGGAATGGAATAGATCCTTTTAAGATTCCCAAATTGGCTTGGATTGCGGAAGCCCTTCTACCGCATAACTGCATGAAGTGTGTGCGCTTCCTAAACTACTCACGCATTACATTACATCTGTAGGAAGGAACGGCGTTTTCGAACAAAAGGTTTAGTAGTAACGGCCTATGAAGACTCCTAAAGGTATACGCATAATCAAGGAACGCGAGTCGCACAGTCTTGTATCATTTATCCAAAGAAGCTACAATGGAATGCACAAAATAGTAAGCGTCATCCAGGGTGGAACGCTCTGACGTGTAAAAGTCAAGTCAAAATAAGCTTTCTGTATCCGATTGAGCACATTTTTATCACCTTTTTACACGAGAACTGCGGATATAAAAAGAATTTCTGTCCAATAGAAGTCTACTTAAAAAAACTGGCAAGTGGTAAAATCAAAATTTACATACATTCACTCAAGGAAATGTTCACGCGTAGCATCAACGATCTTTGTAGAGTTCATTAGAAAGGGTAATAGATAAGGCAAAACACTTATGATAAGAAGCGGTCCGATAATACAGACCCTTGAATTTTGAAGGTGTAGATGAGAAGGAGCCAGTAGTAAAGAACTAATTGTGGATTGTGTAATGCGGCTCATTTAAAAGCTGTGAAGAAAATCTGTAACATGCATCGAAATGCTTGGTATCAATGAGGTTTACAAGAGACTCTCGGGATATCCCACTGCATTTAGTGAGGAACTTAATCGAATGGACAATAATTGGATGATCTTTTTGAAGAAGACCAGGGAAAAGAATAGGCATGCCGTACAACCAATGAGGGAGAATACAGGTAGCTACAAATTTATAGATAAACTAGCGTGGCAGTGAAAACAGCGTGAGCCACAGGGCATAAAATGATAGTTTCCTCATCTTGTGCAAAGTTTCGTCAATGTTTGTAAACCACGTTAAATATTGTGATGAACATACACCAAGATATCTAACAGTGAGTGAAGTAGATAGAATGAATTCGTTAACAACAGTGGCAAAGTTTGACGTTTGTCAACGCGGAGAAAATGAAAGCTTAAGTCTCGGCACTTTGAAGCGTTGATGACAAGGGTTCGGAAAGATGACCAACGATCAAACTCGTCCAACCGTTTTTGATGCATCGAGAATGACACGTTGGTGAGGAAAACGCTGCCTAAAACAACCTCGTCGACATATTTACATCCAATAAAACCTGATGGAATAGGAAGTCTCTCGATGTACAAAGAAAACAAAAGGAGAGAGGATTGTCTCCTGTAAAAGACCCCAGTCGTTACCTATAGTGGAGGGCATATTACCGCGCAGTTGGGTGAATTGCGAGCGATTTGTAAAATAGTTTACAATTAGATTGCCACTGCAGGTTGGACGCCGTTTGTAAATAATAGATTGGGAAGCTGTGACCTATCGACACTCCCAGACCAGTCTAGGGCCAGCCATGGACGCAAATCCATCACATCTCGATTATTTACCACTGGAGAGGCTGTGTCCAAAACTGTCGCTCGATTCGGTGCACCAGCGTGGACTCCGATCACACTCTTGGGTGTGCTAATCTGCGGATGCTTTTCGGCGGGCGTCCGCGACGTCGTTCTGAGCGCACTGACACCAGCCAGCTGGCGGAGCCATGTGTTCTGAATGCTTATCAAACTACGCTGGTATCTGGGGCGAGTAAGCTTCCACTGAACACCATCGAAGATCACTGGTTGTATTTTAGCCAAACGTTACTACCGGAAGGCGTCATCCTGCGGCAAGTCAAATTGCCAACCTAGACATTGGGGCTCTACAATGTCTCTGGAATTTATGGATGCTCGTCGACGTAATCCGGCTGGAAACGAAACAATGAGACACGCAAAATTCTCAGGACAAAACAGCGTGCTAGCCTGAAAAGAGACTGTGAAGCCTGGCGGTCTCATTGTGCATCGGAAATGGAAACAGCCGCTGCCGTTGGTAATCATCGTAAGTTATTCCGTCTGATATGGGAAATAGGCAGTGGGTGACCTGCTGTTAGCAAGACTATACGCGACAAGAGTGGACAGCCGAACGATAGCTTGTCAAAACGCTTAGAGCGTTGGGTCGAACACTTTGCAAGGCAGTTTAACCAATCTGAGTTATTGCTTTCTCTTTCAGACATTGAGTGCTGTGTCCATGGACCATCTCCTTAGATCCGCTTTCGCGCACAGAAGTTGGACGCGAGATCACACTGTTGAAGTTGGATAAGGCCGTAGGGGCAGAAAGAATTTCTTCAGCTCTCTACAAATTTGGAAGACCTGCTCTTGTACATTATTTGCACGAGTTGTTAATGGAATTTTGGGAGCAAGAAACTGTCTCGGCAGATTTGAGCCGCTCCGTTATAGTCCCAATTTACAAGGGAGACTTCCGTTTGGAACGCGACAATCATGAAGGGATCAGTCTGATCTCAACTGCCTCTAAATTGCTTGCCACTTTCATTCTCTACAGACTGATTGGCGTCCGTGAAGGCCAGATGCGCGAAGAGCAAGCAGGGTTTCGTCGAAATCAAGGATGCATCGACCACATCTTCACTTTGCGTCAATTGCTGTAGCACCGCCATGTTTATTGGCGACCCTCCGTAGTCGTGTTCCTCGACATCAAAAGTGCCTTCGATTAGGTAGATCGATGTGTCCGCTGAGAATACGCGTGCCAAATAAATATGTAAACATTATCAAAGCGCTGTACGTGCGTATTTAGGGCAGAGTGATGGTTTGTAGCAAACTGTCGCCTGCCTTTATTGTCTCCAGCGGTGTCCGACAAGGTTGCTGGTTTTCACCCTTTCTCTTTAACTTCGCTGTGGATGGAGTCATGGAAACAGTGTTCGCTAGGCACAACCTAGAAGGTGTGAAGCTACTTCCTGGTGAGCGACTTCTTTAATTGGAGTATGCGTACGACATTGCCCTCATATGTGACAGCGTCTATGCGTGTTTGGCTACACTGGACCGATTAGCACTGGCCGTCTATCGTTTTGGGTTTTGCTTTGCTCCATCGAAATGCAAATTTATTCTGCAAGATTGGCAAGAACCCACCCCTAAGCTAACGCTTTGTGGTAATGAGGTAGAAGTCGTTTAGGAATTCCAGTACCTGGGCAGCTATATTAGTGCCCGTGTGATCGAAGCTGAGCTCACGAACCGTATAGCAAAATCTCCAGGTGATTTTTCCTATCTGCGCCACCTGTGCAGCAGACGCGACATCACTCCTTCCCTGAAGGGCAGTGTTTATAATGCAGCGGTCCGTTCAAACGGACCGGTTATGAAACCTGGCCCATCAGGTGGACAGACCTAACGAGGCTAGCCACGTCCGATCATCGCTGCGATTGCAGCTTAACTCATGCCTGGTGGGAGCAGCGCGTGAGCAGTGAGCGTGCTCGGCGTAGCGCGTTTGGTGCAGGAAGAGCGGGTGAAGCGCTCATCACTATTATATCACATAACAGGCTCCGATGGCTGGGCCACGTGTTGCGCATGCCAGCACACTGACTCACGCGACGTGCATTGTTGGTGCACCGGGTGTGTGATTGGAAAAGGAGGAGGGGAGACTGTGCGATTACTTGGTCGAGAGAAATGAAAAATCTTGCTTCGAAGTTGGAGTCGGTTGATGCATCCATAAGGACGATGAACACATTTGGTCGGACACACTTGCTGTTATGGCGAAGAGC